GTGTTGCCCCGTCATGGTGAGTTGCGCCGTCTTCGAGAGTTGCGCCGTCTTCGAGAGTGTCGCCGTCAACGAGAGTTGCGCCGTCTTCGAGAGCTGCACGCCATCCTCGAGAGTTGCGCCGTCTCGGAGAGTTACGCCGTCGTCACGAGCTTCTCCGTTGTGGACACGGATCGCCTCTCTCTTCGCTACTACCCCGTGCTCGCTTTCCCCGACCTGGCCGTGTTCGACGGCTGCCGCCCCTTCGTTTGCGCCCTGTCCGTCGCTGATGGCGGGACCCTCCTCTTCGATTTCGCCTCTGACGAGAATTTCGTCGTCATGGTCATGCAGTGCTACTCTATCTTCTTCTATTGGTACGAGTCCTGGTACAGGAGTTGGGGGCACCCTCAGATTGCCCTTTGTGTGTGAGTGCCGTCGGAAAAGGCTCCTGTTGCCCATTTTCCTCAGGCGCCCGAGCCCGAGGCACCTGCATAGTGGGCGGAAGTACAGACGTAGGTTGTCTTCCCAACGGGGGGCGCGGTGCGAGTGGGGACTGCCCGGCGTTGCGCCGTTAGTGACCCTCGCACCGTTGCTCCCCGGCCCCGCGCACGGCGCGGAGAGTGCCCCGTGTTGGATGAGGGTCTCTCTCTCGTCCCTTTCCCTTTCGATCCCATCTTGCGTTCTCGCTCCCCCCTGCACTCAGCATCCTCTGAATAAGAATGATATAAATTCGACGGCTATCCGCTGCACATCATGGGCTGCAGCGTCGGCGGCCTCAGCTACAACAGCTTCGACAGGAGGCGTGCCCATGCTGCCTCAGGCGCCGTGCTAGGCGCGGGGAGCGGACCTCTGGGTACGCTGGTCTCCTCCTCCTCCTCCTCCTCCTCCTCCTCCTCCTCCTCTTCCACCACCTCCACCCCTTGCTCCTCCTCCACCTCATCCTCATCCTCACCCTTCCTCGCGCCATTATTGGACTGATACGTGTTGTCAATCTTGAGGTTACCATTATTGCTTGGCGCTGGCCCTGTCTCATCATCATGATAGCAAAGACTCATCAGGGTTGCGGACGTCTCTTGCCCCTAGACGGGCGCCGTTGTTTTTCTCGGTATCCTCCTCCTCCTCCTTCTCCTTCTCCTCCTCCTCCTTTCCTTCTCCTCCTCCTCCTCCTCCTCCTCCTTCCTCCTCCTTCCTCCTCCCTTCTTCCTCCTCCTCCACATCCTCCCTTTCCTCCTCCTCTTTCCCTCCCTCCTCCTCATCATCCTCCTCCTCCTCCTTCTCCTCCTCCTCGCTCGGGTTCCCTCCTCCTCCTCCTCCTCCTCCTGTTCCTCCTCCTGCTCCTCCTCCTCCTCCTCCTCCTCCTCCTCCTCCTTCTGCTCCTCCTCCTCCTCCTTCTGTTCCTCCTCCTGCTCCCTCCTCCTGCTGCTGCTGCTCCTCCTCCTCCGTGGTTCTGCGGTCCGTTTGCCGCGGGCGCGCTGTGATCGGGAGCCGGCAGACTTCCCCGCCGCCCCTCAAACAGGGCGGTTCTTCCGGGGGTGGCCGGCTGTCTGAAACAGCGGCCACTCTCCGAGGGGGGGGAGGTGCAGGCCGGGGCTTGCAGAAAGAAGTGCTCGGGAGCTTGGCGCCGAACGCGACGAAGCGGCGTCGACCGCGAGCGCCACCCAGCTCCCCGGGCCCACCCCAGGGCCGCCGCCCAGCGCCAGGTCCACCATCTGTGGACGCTGGCGCCGGCTCCGCCGCCGCCAGCCTGTCGGCGTCGGTTGACAGTCGCCCTGGGCCTCCGCGCCGCCGCGGGCTTGCCCCGGGCGCCCGCCGCACCGCCCCAGCCAGCCTCGCGCACGGCCGCCGCCGTCCGCGACCCGGGCGCCTGGCCGCCGCCGCTTTTGCCCCCTCCTCCTCTTCCTCCTCCTCCTCCTCCTTTTCCTCCTCCTCGTCCTCCTCGTCCTCCTCGTCTTCCTGCTGGTGCTGCTGCCCACGGCGCTCGAGACGTGGCGTCGCGCTACCCACACGTGCATGTATTCACGCGCACGGAGGAGGAGAAGGAGGAGGAGGAGTGGGATGAGGAGGAGGAGGAAGAGGAGGAGGAGGAGGAGGAGGAGGGAGGAGGAAAAGGAGGAGGAAGAGGAGGAGGAGGAGAAAGACAAGACCCGCCTACCCCATTTCCTGGAGGTAGGGGTCGGTCACGACGTGGCGATACCGCTCCAGTTCCTGAGGGCTGGCGGCCGCCTCGCCGCGGGGCACTGGGCGGAGAATGGCGGAGGCGAAGCACGAGGAGAGGCGAGGAGGGAGCCGAGGAGAAGGGAGGACGGAGGAGACACGGAAGGCCCAGTGCCCAAAACTCAAAACATCATGCACCTCACGGGGATTATAGAATAGGAAACCAGTGGGGCACGGGAAGGGGGATCCAAATATCAGCATATCCACGTGATCGACGTGGACGCCCCGCACACTCCCATGGCCACATACCTCAGTGAAACCAGCAATCTCAGGGAGCTTCCAAATACTGGATAAGTGGGACGCTCTAGGAGGGGAAGGATGGGAAAGGGCGAAGCACCCCCCATGAACTGCACACGCCATCCTCATGCATATTCCAAATCTATGCTCAACGCTATTAGTACTAACCGTGGCCCACATTGAGGCCGCCAGAGATGGAAGGCCCCACGGGGCTTCACGGGTCCGAAGGCACTTGCGGGGATGGGCACGCGTCGAAAAGGGCGCATCTCGGGGCCAAATATTGGAACCAGCATAAGCGACAACAGCTCTGATCTTACGACTGAGCACGAGCGGTCAGAGGGCCTCTTTGAGCTGGACACACTCATGTTCCTGCACAGTTACAGCTGTAATGTCTATCGAAATGACTTCGCATGCAGCCCTAGATAGCTTGCCTAAAGTGGGCCTCCAATTTATCGGGCGAAGCAGCTTCCCTCGAACGAAGAACATCCGGCGGGAGCTCGCCGAAAGCGACACGCGCGGCCACCCTGGAGAGCAGGCGCCGAGTCTCTCCGCCGCTATCGGCGCCGGCGGCAAAGTGCTCCCCCGCTGTCAGCCGTCAGCTGTCAGCCTGGGGGGGGGGGTGGCGCCGAAGCAGCTTGCGCACCTCGTCCTCCTCCTGCTCCCAGAGCTCTGGGCTGGGCGGCGCGTGCGGTAGACGTTGCGGCGGCTGCGGTTGCTCCGCTGCCGGAGCGCGCTCGTCTGGCGGGAAGCTCGCGCGTCCGTGCGCGGTGCCAGCTCGGCCCCGACCGCGGTGGCCAAGGTGCGGCGTTGTTCGCCGGCGGCGGCCAGCGCGTGCACGCGTTTCCCTCTCTGCGGTGGCCGCGGTGCGGCTCGCAAGCGCCCGGGGCGCAAGGCTGCCCCTCGTGACGGAGGCCCACGGGCGCCCACTGGTCGCCCCACCAGAGAGCAAGCCGCTCTTCCAGCAATTTGGCACGCGTTGGGCCGCTGCCGCCTGGACGAGCGAGGAGCACCATGTCAAACAGGAGGAACAGCTTCCACTCTGCAGACGCTCAGCGTCGCGGTGGGCAACTGCAGTGGTCAGCGCGTTCCTCGCCCCCTGGGCTTGCACAGCCTCCTCCTCCTCGTCCTCCTCCACATCATCATCATCATCCTCATCCTCATCCTCATCCTTTTCCTTCCTCATCCCTCCTCGTCCTCCTCAACCTCCACCTGCTCCTCCTCTTCCTCCTCCTTTTCCTCCTCCTCCTCCTCCTCCTCCGCCTGCTCCTCCTCATCCTCCTCCTCCTCCTCCTCCTCCTCCTCCGCCTGCTCCTCCTCCTCCTCCTCCTCCTCCTCCTCCTCCGCCTGCTCCTCCTCCATTCCTTTTCGCATATATAATTCTTCCTTGCCGCACCCCGAGGCCCGTCGAAAGGGCGAGCCAGGCGTTTCGCCTGAGACTTCCTCACCATTCATGATCCTGGCGCTTCAAGTTTTGGAAGAGCTTCACAGATGGAGGGCGGGTGGTTCCCAAAATGTGGTTGTCGCCTTAACGCCGCGCACATTCATTTTCAAAAAGATGTAAGAATTGCATGGATTAAGGGCAGGTCGTCTTCAAAGGGTTGCTTTCGCCGTAGCGCCGCGCACAATCGCTTTTTAGCCACAGCTTCATGGATTAAGGTCGGCTCCTACTCAAAATGTGGTGGTTCTCGGTTTAGCCACGCACAACCGCTTCATGTAATGACAAGCGGCTCACGGAGTCTCATGGTTCACGTACCAGAAAATAAAATGTGTTTTGGAGCGACCCAAGATTGTTTGAGCGCAACAGTTTCGTTGATTGATTGTGTTAGTGAAAGTCCCGGGAATTCTGTTTTGGTGCGATTCGGGATCACCAAGACGTAACAGGCAAGTGAAGTTGTGGCGTTGAAGTCATGAGAACGGTGGTTTGGTGCCAACGGGACAATTCCCTCAGTGGAAATGAACCCTTGTAGGGGCCTATGAAGAAGGATCTTGGAGGGAGGGTGTATTATAACATTGTTGCTGAGTCTTGGGTTTACACTGGTCCTCCTGTTCTAACATCGGTGTTGAGTCTTGGGTTTACACTGGTCCTCCTCCTCCTCCTGGCCCTGCCGCCCGCGGACCTGGCGGGCCCGCTGGCAATGGGGGCTTGCCGCACCGAGGCTGTCCGAGCCCCCCCTCTCCGTCCCAGCACGGCGCCTATGGAAGGCAGTCCTCCTTGCTGGGGCCGTCCAAGAGAAGGGGGGGGTCAGAGGAGGAAAAGTTACCGATACCGCTGCCCTGGCCCTCTGTCCGCCTTTCTGGGCCTCCGGGGAGGCCCTCGTCGCCACGGCTGGATTCACTTTTAGATTCTGGTCAGAACGCACCTCAGGAGAGGTCCGGGGAGTAGCGGTATCGGGACCCCAGGGAGGGGAGGACCTAGGACCATCGAATTGCTGATCGAAGCCTGGGCCACCTGCAACACGATTGGCACCCCCGGCAAATCCACCCAGTGTGAAACAGGAGAGCTGCAGCAGATGAAATCTTGGATCATCATCCTCATCCTCCTGAATCCCCGATCCTCGATCGTCAGACGCGAG